AAAAATGCTATCGCAATTTGTTGGCGAGGCCAATTGTCCTGAACCATGAGGTGGTACATTGTTTTTTAAATGAGCAGACGGTGAAAAAACTCCTAAGTATTTTTAGGAGAAAATTTGTCGCTCTTGTGGGTGGATGTGTTGGATGGGATAGCGATTTTGGTGAAAACGTGTGAGTAATCGGAAAAATTCCTTGTCATTAAAGATATCATATAGCATAACAGTGGTGCGACAGGTGGATTTAATCGCGGACGACGGGATCGAACGGAAGAGAAGACAGCAGATGTCACGAGAACATCACCGAAATGTCGGGGATGTGATCAAGCAGACTGTAGACAACACCGATAAGCTGACGGAAGTATAAGAACCCGTAACGATCCTCGATAGAGGCCTCGAAGACCATAGTCAGGCACCTCTTTCAAAGTCAAAAATGAGTGTGTTTGGGAAGGAAACGGACTGTAAGGACTGTATATCTTTCAAACTCAACTGTTTAGGTACTCTGCCTTTGAAAATCGATAACTTAGCCGACGAGCTAATTTCTAGTGGAAGATTATTCCAGATTAAACCATATTTGGAGACAAAAAACGAGCTAAGGGGTGATGAAATCATCATCGACGAGTTCCCACTGACGTAAGGTCGATCTGTCGGAGTGAGAGCTTTAATTCGCGAAATTACTCTTAATAGCCCTCACCAACGATTGTGTCAATAGCCTGAGATGCAGCGCCGTCATGTTTACTTAAGATATCAATCCCTAGAGATTCACTGAGTCTGACGAAGATAAGCACACATCACAGGAGAATTTTAAGCAACGGAACGGCTGGTCTGTCTGTGGCCAGTAGATGTCAAAATTGTTATGTGTAAGGTTCCTAGACTCCCTGCCGGAAGACAGGGAGATGAAAGCAAATGATTTCTCCTGACTGCCCCCACATGTTGACAAAGCGGAGGAGCTCGTTGTTCTTATGACCTCGCTTAAAACATAGTCAAGGTATTTAAAGTTAGCTAATCGTGCGACGCAAAATGCTATTTCCACTGAGACGAGCATTTAGAAAAAATGACATGAAGGTAGACAGTTTACTTTTTCATCTATCTCAAAGTTCTGGACAAAAGGGTGTCCTGGACAGCACTTTAAAGGCTAAAGTCTTCTGTTTCAGGCACTTAATCCTGCTCTAGAAAGCGAAAGCTTTCCCAATTTATCGAAGGAATCGTACATTGTGGCTATCCACAAACACGGCCGATCTAAGTCATTTGACGACTTTAGGCCAATAAACACAATAACTGCGGCTCCGAAGATATTAGAGACCTTGATAAAAGACAAGGTGATGCGTCACCTAACAGAAAATGAATGTCAGACTAAGGCTCGGTATTGATTTCTCAAAAATGTTCATGTGATACCTGC